CAGGCTAGGGGTGACTTGTGCCAGCTGCCTTCCCCTTGAGCCTCAGGAGGAGAGGGTCAGCGCAGCAGACACTGCCCACAGGAAATGGCTCCTGACGATTGAGCAACAGTCAGCGCTGGGGTCTGATTCACAGAGGGGCTGTGGGAGGAGGGGAGAGGAGGAGCCGGCTGTAGGACTCCGAGGATCCCAGACCTCTGAGGGGCCACCCTGTCCTGCTGCCCATGCTGGTCAGGGGTCCCCAAGAGCTGGGGCCAGGCAGGGCCCAAGGCTGCTCAGACATCACTGTCCTCATGCAGCACCCACTATCCTGGTGCCAGCCTTGTGCCAGCCTTGCGAGGGCAGGGGAAGAGCAACTGCCTGGAGGCCGGGGCCCCCTTCCAGGGCCTCTGGTCTCCCTCCAGCCACCATCCCTGTAGCTAGGAAACAGGTTCTGGAGCCAGACTTCATGGCTTCAAGTCTTCCTTCCTCAATACCTGTGTGTGCAAGCACACCTCCATAGCCTGTCTGTGTTCTTTCCCATATCCATGAGGGGAAAATTATAAAAGCTGTGGGGAGGGTAACATGGGTTTCTATTGGTAGTGTGCATTAGAATACGGCCAGAGACGCAGCAAGCACTCAACAAATAGTAACAAACTTTGTGGTCCTAGTAAGCAAGGAAAAGGAGAAGGAGGCATCTACACAGGGGAGAACCCCCCCACCCCTTCCTTAACTTCGTCTTCTTAGCTTCTTTTGCACACTAGGCTCCTCCTGTGTACACATGCTCACATGTCATTATTTTGCAGATACACATACCTTGAGCTCCCGGCGCAGGACCAAACGGTGCGTCCTGGAGTTCTGGGGCTAAGAGTCTGCTTATTCTGTAGCTGTGGCCCAGTGAAGGAAGAGCCAAGCACAGGACCTGCATGTGCAAAGGCCCAGAAGTGTAAAATGGCGCAGGGTGTCTGGGATGGTGTGGGAGGGAGGAATCCCCAGGGGAGTGGCAGGAGGGCTGGAGGGCCCCGGTGGCTTCTGTCATTAGAGTCGACTTTAGTTTCCTGTTTTTTTTCATGATTCCTTTATTTCCCTGTGTTTACTGTTCATCTGCCATCTGACAGCGAGTGTGTTTGGAGTCAGGACATTCATGTTATCCTTCACCTGGGGAGTCCAACGCCCAGCTCTGACCTAAGGTCCTTGGGAATGAGGGCCCTCCCTGATGCCACAATCAGTTAAAGCACAGCACTATGAAATTAGCTGCTCTGCTTCAGCACAGGTTCAATCCCTGGCCCTGGAAGTGACCCACATGGCGCGGCAGACCTCTCCTGTCTCACCCTCTGCTCTCCTCAGCAGTGTATTTTGTTGATCTGCCTGTTCTGCTCCCCACTCTGTCTCTGGTGAATCCTCTCACTGCCCCTGCATCTCTGGTCTGTACCCCACTTCTGTATGCATAAATAAAATGGCTCTTTAGACAAAAAATGAGCTCTGGGGAATGAGGGCTCTGAAACCACCTGAAGCTCAAGCCTCAAATACTCTCCCTTGGTATTGGCTTATAAAGTCAGAATCATTGGTACGTAGTTATAAAGAGAAAAATTCCCCCCACTAGGGTGTCCAATTCTGTGAATTTTGACAAACTCATGCACCTATGGAACCACTTCCACAATCAAAATATAGAACGTGAGCCCAAAATAGTTCCCGTGTGCCGTTTCTCCAATCCCGGTCCTGGCAACTACTGATCCAACTTCTGTTTCTACCCTTTTTTTTTGTCCCATCCCTTCCTAAATGTATATACAGGGACTCACATGGCATGGAACCTTTTGAGTCTGGCTTTTTAAAGTTATCCTAAGGCATTTAACATGAACTTGTGTTGCAGGGATACAATGCAGGGACTTGTGCTACTGTTTTGGGTAATCCATTCTTTTTTTTTTTTTTTAATTTATTTATTTGTGCATACAGAACTGGGGTATAGGCCAGAGGTACAGGGGCGGTGAGAGGCTTCACCAGAGACAGAGTGGGGAGCAGAACAGGCAGATCAGGCTAGGGGTGACTTGTGCCAGCTGCCTTCCCCTTGAGCCTCAGAGGAGAGGGTCAGCGCAGCAGACACTGCCCACAGGAAATGGCTCCTGACGATTGAGCAACAGTCAGCGCTGGGGTCTGATTCACAGAGGGGCTG